TAATAAATTCATTTTCTATTGTGCTGCTATACCGATATAAAATAGTAAACAAGCAAAATCAATTATACTCATTGTCGACATACTATGCGTGTAATATTTTGAACATTTAATAAAATTTTTTTTTTTAAGATTTTTATAAAACATCTAATGTTTTCTATAAATTATACTATCAAGTATTTCACTTGGAATGCTCTGACAAATTAATAATAGAATAATACCTATGTTTGATTAAGTAGTCATCAGAATAACACATAGTCGCAATTTCTTGTCAAAAATCAAGTGACTTCTCACGAGATCATCAATAGAAAATTTTTTTATTCTATAAGTTACATTGAAAACAAATCAAAGAGGGAAATAACTGCTATTTTAAACCCTAACAAATGATTAATATATTGAGCTTGAACTCAAGAGATTCAGCATAGGCTATACAAACGAAAATTCACCTGTATCTTTTTGCCTGTAAAATAATTACTATCTGGTTTCTATGGTACAAGTGACTGTCGAGGAGAGCATTAGGATTCAGATTAATCGAGTAGTATGCCTTTAGAAGTGATAATCATTATTATTAAATTATTGAATGGTTCGATTGGATTGTTCAATGCTATAACATGAGTATGTGATGTAATAATTATGAAGAATTAGGGTGTAAGTCTGAAGATATGATTATGACTAATTAAAATCACATTATTTGTATAATGTGATATCATTTTTTTGCAATAGAAATAGTACTAATATAACTAATTGTATTTATTTCTATTTTATCTTTATAAAAACTATATATATATTTATATTTATAACATAGAATTTATTCTAAATATAAAGAGGACAGACTAATATGAATGATGAAAAACGGAAAGTGTTTAAATTTCAAGTTTTTTGTTTAAAATATTCAAATTTTGCGCATAAAATCTCTAAAAACAAGATTATGATTTATGACCACATACCAGTCTTAGCAATCCAGTAATTCAATGTACATATCAATCTCTGATAAAAAGATTTTTTTTTTATTTACTATACTCAATTATCATTTGAAATTAAAAATAAAATTTTAAAAACAAAATTAAAGAATAAAAGCGAATATAGTTATAATAGAGTAATGATAAAAATGTGACAAAATTTTTACAGATAAACGAATAACATTACACATATAAACTGAACTTCATTACCGGAGTGTAGCATACTCAAAATCGTCTTTTTTTTTTGAATGAAAAACAAGTTTTATATTACGAAAAATATATGGTTTCATGAAACGAATCGATTTTATATGGCAGGTCATCGCTTACATTCATCTACTTAGGTCATACCCAAAGCAGTGAGATTTTGAAGAAGAAATATACAAACAAGTTATTCAAGATTCATCAAATATTTGAAGTAGTTCTCTTGGTTATTTACACACAAATGTATTAGTTCAAGTCATCTATCGAAGATTTTTTTAATATTCATCTTTATTGAGCGAGTTCATGATCTTGGTTACGGCAAGGTACAACAACGATTGTAAGTTGCTTTGATGAGTTAGATTCTATTTGATTAGAATGAATAATCAAGGATCAGATGATACTAGATCCGAAGAATTCGGTGGTTGTCGAATAATTTTGATGGCTTATGATTCTAGATAGTTCGAAACATCTTTATGAACATGCAGTTTGGTATTATCGTAAAGTTTATTAGCATGTATATCAGATGTTGGTATTTTTGTTTAGATTTCGTCGATGAGGGTTCCAAGCAATTACCGATATAATAGTATTGGTTGATGGTTTGTCCTTGTTCACTATGATGAATTAGCATTAAGACCAGAAAAAATATTCATTCCAATTTTGAAGATAAAAATATCTTGAAAGATGTATGTGTATTTGTTGCGCCAGTGCTAAATTATGATATTTTGATGGATGACTTAAAATCTCTTAAACTCATTACTAACCTGTGTGAATTATGGTATCAAATTGTCGGCCTAAGTGAGGTACTCTCATTCTATATACGATTCAATTTGATTGGGAGCAAAAAGTCCGGTGAGTTGATTTGCGGTCCTATGCGCCTCCATCCTTTGAGAGATTTCGATAGAAAGTCATAGTGCAAATAAACTGGTGATCATTGGCGGATAAACGAGTTTTCTAAACATCGGTAATACTGATACTATTCAAATATGATTCAGAGATAATTTTGTAGAGGGCGAAACGATCACAAAATGTCGAATCCAATTCATTAGGTAGATATTTTACAAAGTTTTTAGGCTTGATGAAATCTTCATCTGTATATAAATTGTCTTTATAAAAGAAAGGTATACAATCGTCAACAAGAAGATTTGTAGCATCCAATTTAATTCTTGATATCAAAGATACCATTGGAATAACATCACTAGAATTGAGTAAAATATCCAGTGCAGCTTTGTAAAAAACGTCAATCAGTATGGGTTGACAGCAACTTTTTAAATGGTAACATATTTTCGAATTCTTCAATATCAGTATCCGTAACTTCTATATTTACCGAACCAGCATATTATCATCGTCCAACGACTGTTCACTAGACTTTTTTGAAGTGTAATTCATTTTCTATCAAGAATATATAGGCTATAATTCTTCAATTTTCTAATGAAATATTTCAATTAATTATGTTCAAATACCATAGAATGTGATAGTTGCTACATATACCAATCTGTTGCAAATAGAACTATTGAAAACGAGAATCGAGTGAAATATATATTTTTTGCCCGATAAGTTGGCTTAGTTTAATAATAATAAAGAATATTTCTACATAATAGAGAGAAAGCAAATAAAGAAGAAGATGAAAATCTTATTCTTTTCTATTGAACTGTATATCTGAATGTGACTAAAATGGATGAGCGGATGAAGAGAAGAAATAAATATCGCGTTTCTTTATCGAACTGCGCAATATCGCGCAGTTTTAGTTAAATTGAGAAGTATGTCAATAGATAACCACAAGAGAGTAATTGAAGGAGACGAGAATAGATAGGAAAAAGAATAGAAGAAGCTATAGAAACTCAAAATACGTTACGCTCAGTAACATGTGTCTATAGCGATTGAAGAATAATTGTCGTTCGCCTGTGTATTATCCTATGAGACAAATTATTATCCTTAAACAAAAAATTAGGTTATAAATTTACATAATACAGGACTCTAGCATTTTCCAACAATTCAAGACGAAAGCATAGTAATCGAAACAAAAGAAATGACCTGTTACTGGTTGTCTATGTGAAAAAAACTGGATGAATATTATTCTTTGTTTTTTGAAAAGTCTATTTAATATGTGCTTTCTTTTGTCACTATCTACAATAAATATTTTCCTTCTATAGATCTCTTCTTTAAAAGTTATTCTTGCTTTTCTTTATCACATTCAATAAATACATTCAAAGGCATTCATCTTTTGTTATTAAATGAAGTATTTGACATTGAAACTACTTTTGAGTATTCGTCAATAAGTTTCGAAGAAAAATCTTGACAATTTTCTGAAGAGATCTTATTGTATAAAAGAACCTATCGATTATAATTAAGTACTAATTTTATTATGTATATTATAGAGAAAAAAAATATTGCAAGGCATTATATTTTTAGACAATATCGGACAGATCTTCGCATACTGTTATTAGATTTGACATCATATTTTCTCTACTAACAGTGAGAATATAGAAAAACGAACAATTTCGAAATTATAAAGATTTTCAGTTTGAAATACTACTCTCAAAATGAAGACAACATAGAGAATGCATGCACAAATAATAAATTTAGGACGTCAGATATTTTCACTTCATACTTGCAAATAAATTTACTGGTTTAATCAATATTCATCTGAAAAAATATCAGAAATACATAAAAATGATGTCTATTCTTCATCATTTTATTAAAATTCATAACTTGTCTAAGTTTTATGCAGTAAATAGAAATCCGATGGTCAATTGTATTGAAATTCGATGTCATCTGTAGATTGACGAAAATCGATGAAAAAATTATGGAAAGAAAATTATTGAGAAATGTCAATCGAAACAGATTACTTAAAAAACGTTTTGATTGCAAGTTAAACAAAACAAAAAAGTACTAAAAAAGAAGAACTTTCAAAATTAGATTGATATCGATTTCAACAGAAACATTTTTTTCTCATGTTTTTTATTTCGGTCAGATACTTGTGCAAAAATTTAAAAGAAAATTTAGGACGCGACTTTTTTAGAGACAACCTACAATTCAACAACTGATCTTAGTTTTCTTTTCTTTTTAGTTAACCCTTGAAAGTCCAGGAGACATTTTTTGATGGTGAGAGGAAACTGATGACAAAAATAGAGATTATGAACTTTCAGTATGCTCATACTGTAGCTAAAAAGAATTATCTTGTTCTTCTCTTCTAGACTTATTGAATATTCCTTGGAAGGAATATTCGACCTTATAGAAGAATCAAAAGAAAAGAAATTTGATCTGAAATTTTTTCCACAAGGAATTTTCATGTTCCTTAGAACGCTCTGTAATTTTCAGCCAAAACGGATGCTTTCTTGCTGAGAGATTGAATAAGGACAAAAAACGATGACATTTCACAAAATCAACTTTTCTTTTCAACGCGTCATATCCGGAGACCGAAGCATCGATTTTGACTGAAAATTGTAGGACATTCGATGTCATATCGTGACAGTAGATCATGTCGAAATTTCAAGGCTGATTTCATAAGATAGTTAGATTCATATATTTTGCAAAAATAAAAAAATAAAAATACAAAAAGATACTCAATTTGCAGTGTATGTAGATCGACTAATAACAAACAATTGATCGACGAGAGCTGATTAGGTTGCCTTCGTTCACTTTAATATTGATTGAAAGATAATGAAATAGTTCGATGTTTAATACACTAGTTCCATGATGAACAATGGATTATCTTTTCTGAGAAAAGAAGCTGTTAGAACAATCCCTGTGGATTCTGCAATAAAATAAATCCATTGTTACTGACATTTGCATACAGTGCATCAACAAAACGACAATTTTTGATTGATAGTCGACTCGCGAATTATGGAAATTTTTACTGATTATTATCATTTATCATCAACAAATCATTATTCTCAATCAAATCGTAAATTTCTTGTTAAAAATAATCCTTATAATGATCGAATTGATCACCTAAAAACAATTCGTATTGAAACACACTTAGATAAATTTTAGATTGCAACTTGACAAGTCCAATCATTTGAAATAAAATGTCGAATAGCACATTACCTATGAAAATCAATATCGAAAGAAACATTGAAATTTATTGAAACATGTAAAATGAAATATCTCTCACAATACATTGATATTCATATCAGAAGACGAAATAAGTTAGTGAAAGAAGCTCATCAATTGTCATTACAGATATATATATATATTAAATCAATTGAAAAAATATTAAGTAGAAATAACAAAATTCGGCATATATTTGTTGCATCAGATGATTTTAAATCAGTTGAAGAATTACGTCAATTAAAACCAACATGGAATTTTTTCACTATAAATAAAACGAATCATCATGGAACTAATATAATTAATCATTTTCAACCGAATTTTAATCATCTATCATCCGAAATAAAATTAAATGAAACGCGTTTATTGATGTGTGAACTACAAATGTTGATTGATTTTCAATATGTATTATGTTGTATGTTCTCAAATGTTAGTCGACTCGTACAAATATTGAGACATCAACATCGAACAACTACTATTTCATTAGATCGACCATGGTATGCCACATAATCATAGATATGCGTTATCACTATCTATCTTACAAACCTATTCAACTAACAGTTAAAACAAAAATAATATCCATCATATCCACCATTTTTTTTTTATTAAATTCGTTCCAGAACATTTTTTGAAACTCATGTATTCGATCAGATTGTCAAAGACTTCGATGATTTATTACACAGACTGAAATTGAATTGGCTTTGACAAGAATATAGAACTAAATTAACCTAGAATAAAACAATTCATAATCAATTCTCTATCGCTGTACTTTTTTTCTCTTCATTACAATAAAACTGATCGTGTTTGTAACAATCAGTCACTTCTATGTAGTGTAATCGTTTGATTCGTTTCTGAGTTTTCTATCAATAGTTCTAGATGAGACAATGATTTTTCATTACGATGCCGATATTCATACTACCACTACCAGCTGATCTTTCTTTCCTCTTTATCTTACCTCTATTGTTCTTTCCGGTGTTCACCTATCTCTCTCTGTTGCTTTCTCCTATATTAGCGTGTGTTATATGTGAAGTATATACATGCTGGAGATGTGAAATAGCTCAATAAACATCGTTACTGCAGGTGGCGATAAGCTATTCCATCCAGTTTGTTGTTACATGACAATTTCGGCAGAAAGTTATCGTTAAATGACAGCTATCATAACAAAAGTTGCAACTCTAAGTTCGAAGTTGGACCTTACCAAAACTAAAAACAACTCAACATCGTGAATCATCATTTGATAATACAACTTAACAACAACGAACCGTGAATAAACTGATTAAAGTGATGAATGCATGGAATGACGAGGGAGTTGAATGACATAGCACTGTCGATTGACTACAGAACTGATTCGATAGAGTACTAAGTGCATGACATTCTTACAGAATACCAATGAACGTACTAAAGGACAGCTAGACTTGAACCGATTGTGCAAACATTCCAACACACTTTCCTTTGTAACATTAGTACATTTCATGTCATTTCTTCTCAAATCACTCAGTTATTTTTCACCTTTCAATGTTGCGAAAAAGTTAGTTTTTGGTACATCATGAATTCATTTTTTCTTATCTCATCAATAAATCAATCATAGTTTTTAACTTTATTCCATTAATCAAGTTTCGTAATTGATTAGCAATTTCAAATGATGTCATGTCATCATCAATCATTCGCATAATCACTTTTCGTAGATCTTCAGGTTTTATTTCTTTCTATTAATTGGCACACACTTATACAGGTATGATTTGTTATTATGAAGTTCGTATGTCTGTCTAACAAATAACATTAGAGTGAGTGAAAAAAAAAAATAATCAAAACATATATCAATTGGTCTAAAATCGGCCATCGATAATGCCCTTTGATATGATTCATTAATCGAAGTTCATAGCATCGAAATTTGATCATGTAGAATTTTGTTTATTTTGAAAACTAAAATTACATACATAGAATAAGCTTTATATTGTAGATTATAGAGCTTTTCATGTTGCATCTTGTGATATATTTTGTTTTCTAGTAAAACATATTTTTAATGATGAAAAGATAAAATACAAAACGCGACCATTCATTCTAACCCACCCGTTATACTGCAAACATATTGAGCATTCCTGGTGCTACAAGTATATATGGACAAAGTTTTTTTTCAAGCTTTCTATACTTTTGATATAATATCAACATCATCATCATTTTTGGTATGCCCTAAGTAGTACTCTACTTAACACATGTTTATATCTAAATGCATCTATATACGCATCTTTATTCAGTCAGTCTAGAATCAAGTGAATCAAATTTTGATGAACGTTCCTTACAAAAATTAATGAAACAAAATTTATTTAAATCTTTCTTTCACAACTCCTACGATAATATCATCTTTATTTTCTCGTTGTTTCATATATAATCATATAAAGAAAAAAGAAGCGAGTGATTAGATTCGCACACATATATAAAGAAAAAAAACAGGCGAGTGAGCAAGATATTGGCAACAGTAAGGCCGCATACCACATGCAAAACAAGTGTAAGTAAATAATGAAGAAAACGTTTTGGGTTTTTTTTGAAATATAAACTAATCTGAATATATACCAAAAAGAAAAAAAAAGACAAACGCAGAGACTGTTTTTAAACAGTGTACTAATCATAATAATAGCATTCGGATAGTATATATCTATTCTTTTTTTGTCGGTTTTTGTTTTTGGATTTAATAATTCTTATCTGATTGATTAATATTATTATAAGTTAGATGCCATTGTTGATCATTTTCATCATAGGCTTCAATTGATTTAAGAAATGTTCGACCATCAAAACCTCCAATAACATAAATTCTATCACAACAAACAGTTACACCAAGACCAACTCGTGGAATATTTAATTCATTATAAATTCCACTGATATTAATTAACCATTCATTTGTTAGAGGATCCAATATTTCAATTGATGTTAATGATGTTACACCGTTTGAACCACCAATAATAAATATTTTATTATGATATAAAACTGCACCACAACCACGACGATTTTCTTTCATTGTTGGTCCAAGTCTCCATTCATTTGTTGATAATGTTAAAATTTCACATAATGATAAACATCGAGCTAATGTTGAACCACCAAATACATATATTTTATCATTACAATAGACAACACCAGTTTCACTTCGTTCAGTATTCATTGAAGCTAATTGTGACCAACTATTATCATTTGGATCATATCGATAACAATCATTTTTACATTTATCACCTTCCATTCCACCAATTAAATATACATAATTATCATCACTACACATAGCTAAATTTTAAAGAATATTTTTTTTTTCTAATTTATAAAATAAATCGAAAATTCTTACCACTATGTGCGACAGGTGTAGAAAGTTCTTTTATCATTGACCATTTATTCATAGATTTTAAATCAAAACATTCAGCTGTATTTAATTCTTTTTGTCCATCACTACCACCACATACATAAATTTTATCATCAACAATTGTAGCTGACACTCGACCTCGTCGACTAGTCATTGGAAATGATAATAATTTCCATTTATTTTCAATTGGATCAAACTGTTCAATTGTCTCAAGACAATCATCACGATTATATCCGCCTAAAATAAATTCAATAATGTATATTACATATGATAAAAAAATATCAACACTTGCCAACAACATAGATCATATCATTTATTGATCCTGTTCCAAAACAACATCGTGCTGTTAGCAATGAACCGAATGTAATATCTTTATCAAACATTAGTATCGGACTAGTTGTATTTGAATGACTATCATCAAAAGTTTTTTCTATAGGTACAACAAGGTTATTTTCAATTGCAGTAGGGCTTGGTGACAATGACATATGTATAGAAAGAATTGACATTTTTCCTTTTATTATTGCAATAGCAATATAACTATGATCTAAATAAAAGAAAAAATAATTCAAAAAAAGAAAAATATTTATTTATTCTAACTAACCATTTGATTGGCTCATATGAATAAGTTTTGTTTCTGGTGTATGTGAATTCATTATTGTATTTGATAATAAATTATGATTATTTATTTGTAAATTTGGTGTTTCAAAAAAGAAACTATCATTCTGACTACTTGATGGTGATGTTGTTGATAAATTTCGTTTTGTTAATTTATAACTTTGATAATCCTACATAAGAATATAATTTAATAAATAAAAAAGAAATCGAAAATTATATTTAATATTACTTTGATGAAATCAGAAAAATGAATATTTTTATCATCCATACTTGTACAATCAAGAAGTGTTTCACCATTAAGATAAAGTAGATGCATCTAAAATAAGAATCATTTGTTTTTCTTTTTTATTATCGAATAAAGATTAGGTTTTTTATTATCATACACAGTCACAAAGTTCTTGAAAATCACTATTTTCTTCACAAAGGTGTTGAATAATCCAATTTATAACAAGATCACATATTATCTTTGGTTTAAGGACTTTCGAATCTAATTTTATAGATGATTAAATGAAAGAAAAATTAATTTTTGATTTTTCTCACCAATCAATTCTAATTTGATTGTTGGTAATGTAAGACACTCACGAGTTTCCAGAACAACAGTAAAATTATTTTGAATACATTCATTTGCTTTTGTACGAAGGTCATCATCCATAGCCAATGAACGTGTACCTGAAAAACATAAAGGAATACAATAAAATATCATTAATTTTCATGATTTCTTGAGAGAAAAACTAAGAATAAAACATAATGGATCTACGAATATTGTTTACATTAACAACTACATTTCCTCAATTATTAAATTCATACTTCTGATATACAAAAAAAAGTTCCATGTACAACTAAAAACAGTATCAAACAGTAAATTTCCCTTTTTTTTTTACAATACATCGTGAACAACAACGTGGACATTAAGTGAAAACAATGAAAATGAGTTTTTTTCAAGGTTTTCAATAGTAACTTATACACTTTGATTAATGATCAGTTAGCGTATAAAAATGCATTTCGTTTCCTTTTGATTGTCAAGGTTCAATCTAATTGTGTCATATGTATAGAATGAAAGATTATAAGTTACCGATTATTTTGATACCATCAAAGTTATGAACACGGTCTATCTCCACGGTCTAGTAAATAGGCAGTTAGTTATTGATACTAATCAGTAGTACGAGCACTCGTTTCATAGAAAATAAATAAAGGCGAAGAATTATTTAAAGTTATTTTGACAGGCCTTTGTTCAACATACATTTTCATAATAGAATTATTCATTTAGAATAATGTTTTGAATCTATTGGAACGTATACAAATCTTTCATTGCTCATATTTTGAGTCTGAAATACAAATATACATTTCATTTATTGTTTAATTATCGTGTTAATGAACTTCATCCACACTTAGTTTACTATCTTGAGGTTCGATTTTCAAGCAGAATAATAAATATTTCACTTCAAATAAATATCATAGTTGAAATTAGCATGAAAAAAGTGAGTCGACTTATGTATGCTTGAAACATTTTCTTCTGATCAAATTTTCACAGCTGGATCGCCTTAGAGATATA